CTCCTCCTCATCTTGTCTTGAAGATCGCTTCCATATAGCCGGAGCTGATGGATTCCACCTTCGACACAATCTGATGGCGGGTGCCGCAGGGAGTGCCTTGGCCTTGGCATTCGGCTTCGCTGGAGCTGCCTTCGCTTCGGATTTAGCTTTAGCTTTTGCCTTTGGTTCCGGAGCTGGGGTAGCTGCTGCCTCATGCTTGAAAGGACAATTCTCTCTTGAGCACGAGCCTGTGTTCTTGAACGAGTAGCATATCCTGTTTCCTCCTCCTCCAGATGGACTTGGAGTTCTCGTCCTCGGCGTGAAGGGTCGCTCTGGAGTCTTCTTCGAGTGACTGAATGGACACTTATCACCATTTCGACACCCTGCATCTGTGAAATGGAACTTGCAGCGGATTTGCTTCTTGCTTTTGTCACCTCTGTTGTCCGCTGACTCACTCCTCGTCTTCTTCTTGGGCTTTGGCTTGGTCTTCGCATGACTCTTCGCTTTGCTTTGAGGTAGTACAGGTGTTGCTTTATCCGGCTTGGTCGGCGAAGCCTTGACCTTTGCGGATGGAGCTGCGTTAGGCGTTGGTTTCTCGGGTACCTTGGCCGGTGCAGCAAGCAAATCCTTGCCCTCAAGCATCTGGCGCAAGCCAATTTGGGTCTGAGTGAGATTTGACTGTTCTCGTCTCCGCATGATAGTACGGTCAATGATCTTCATCAGGTTGTCGTACGATCGGTCTTCATGATTGTAGGGCAAGTGTTCGTAATGCATGCCCAACTCCATCTTCATTGCGGGCGAGTCCTTGATCTTGCTGTACAAGCAATCACGGAGAGCTGTTTTGGATGGAATGTCCTCTGGTCTCATCCGTCCCAGAACTTCCAACCACGTCTGCTTGAACGTATGAAGCTTGTTGTCGCCTTGGTACTGGAGCTTCACCAAATACTCAAGAGTGATGATCATGTCGAGACGATCGTGCGTTCGAAAACTTTCATACATCATCGCAATGATTTGTCGTCCTTTGATGATCTTCCCGTCGGGCCTGCTGATGTAATCGTTAGCCTTCCGGTTCACCTCAAGGTACAGGTCAGCTGATTTGTCACCACCGGCACGTAGCATTGCGACCATGGCGATCCCCAATTTGACGTCTATGCTCTTGAACTTCTTGTGTCCTGAATCATTCAATGCTTCGACATCAGGGAATGGGTTGAACGCTGGTGCCAGCCATAACATCCAGTCCTCATGATGTGGGTCGGCTGATGCTCCTAAGACATTGGCCGTGCACACGGATCGCCAGTTGTTGAGATGAGTGAGAGTAGGCCATGGAGGAACGGTCACTTTGTCGGCTTCCCTCCTGGAAATTCTCACCTCTGTGACTTCAGGATCCGCGTCTCCATCAGGATCACGCGCATGCGAGCCAGGATCCGATTCAGGTTTGCCCCCTCCGCCTTTCTTCTTATCATCATCATCATCATCAGGCGGATCTGGAGGATCATACCCCGTGCCGGTTCCTTCATCATGCTCGTCCTCTCCGTTCTCGTCGCCAGCTTCATCACCGTCATCGTCTCCATGGTTTTCCTGAATCGTTTCAGCGAATAATCTCCACTCATCACGATCAGCTCTGAGACGTTGTTCGGCTTTCTGGGCCTTGAGTACTTCACTTCGCAGATCAGCAATCTTCTCTTCGTACTGTTCCGCGATCTCTTTCTCGATCTGACGCCTCCTTGCCTCATGGATAGAATCGTCATAGGCGACAGGGGGACCAATGAGGTCGTTGCCCTTCGTAGATGCGGTAATACCGTCGATACCAACAGGTCTTGAGGAGCTGGCAGACGCTGTGGACTTCGATCCCAACATCCCGCGATCCTCCAAGAGTTCGCGTAGCTGTCGATCACGCACGGCTGCCGCATCACTTCTCCCATGAGATCCGCTTGGTATGCCAAAAAGAGTGGCTGCACTAGGCGTGGAACGCGCAAGTGCTGGATTGCTAATACCTGGCACGTAGTGCTCGGGCATTGCATCCGCCACGATTGGCGTTGAATTGCGGCCAGTGAAGAAGTTTCCACCGGTAAATGGAATTCCATCCATCGCAAGGATCTTGTCCTTGTCGGATTCCGAGAATGCGAACTTCTCTTTGGCGACTGGACTAACTTGACTTGGGGAACGTATTTCAGGGGATCGTACCTCACCTCCTACGGAAAATGCAGGCACTACTTCCTTTCCTACGTGCTCCCAGCCAGACTCAGTAGTCCTCGAAGACATGGGCATGCTCGAAGGCCGCGTCGCTCCACCATAGTTGGAGTTCCGCGCTGCCTCCAATTCGCTGCGTGTCCTCGCTTGAAGATCTTCTTGTGCTTTGAGCGTTTTCCTGAGTTCACTCAGCTCGTCGTGCAAGGTAGGCAATGCTCGCCTTGCATGATCTTCATTCTGATGAAGTCGGTCCTCTGCATCTTGCATCCTCCTCACAGCCATTTTGCGGTACTCTTCCTCTTCACCAAGACGTTCACGAAGCCGAAGTCGTTCTTGATCAATGGCTGCGCTGTTTCCAGCTAGCCCTTGGATCTCGTTCACGGCCCGCAACTCCTGATTCTTGACCAAGTGGAATCGTTCCTGCATTGCTTGTAAGGCTTGTTCCGAACTTGCTGTGTTCGACCGGAGGAACAAGTTCTCTCTGGCATGTTCATGAAGTTCATGAGTCAGACGCTCATACTCACGTGCCATAAGCTCACCATCGCCTTGCGCTCTTGCCTCCAACTGCACGAAGTTGGTGGCTGCTTCTGTGCGAAACACATGTAGCTGCTGAGCCAATTCCTCGGCAACGGCGTGTGCCTGACGTTGTTGAGCAGAGTTCTGTTCATCCATGCGAAACAAAGCTGCTTCATAGTCTCGCTTCATCTCCTGATTGACATTGTTGATGTGCCTCATGGCTAAGCATGCATGGTCACGTTGTCGTTCCAATTCTTCAATGCGAATTCCAGATCCTTCATCTTCTTGTTGCATCTCCTTGATCTTGTCCATCAGGGTCTGGACGACTCCTTCGTATTCTTGCACCTGACTGCGATAGTACATCTGCTGTGCAAGGTTCGATGCTTCGAACTGTTGCGAAATCGTCAGCTCCTGATAAGCGTTCGGACCATCGGCTATGGCAGGCGTGGCCACGGACGACGCATCACCACGTGCAGGAATCGTATCCAGAGTCATATCCAGATCGTCAGCATCGCGTGGTTGATTGGTAACCATCCGATTCCAAGTCATGGACTTGTCACGCCCACGAGTAGCCGAAGTCCTCGATCGTGCTGAAGAGCTTCTCGAAGATGATGGTCTTGACTTCTTTTCCAAGGTCTTGACTCCTTTGTCCTTGGCCCTGGACGTAGTCCGAGGTGCCTGAAAACCAGACGCTTCGGCCCGTCGTTCTGAAGCCTTGCCCGTCCTCGAACCTGTGGATGTCGGACGCGAAGGCGTAGATGCTCTTGGTAGACTCTTTGCTTTCCCCTTGGGAACTGCCTTTGCAATGGCAAGCGCAGAAGATTGACCTTTGTCATCTTCCGTGGAGCTATCAACGGATTGCACCACTGTGTCATCAGCTGTTGACTCACCAACGGCTGGCGCTGCCACATCGGCACCGAAAGTCATTGTCGTATCTTGGCTTGATCCTGAGTTCATTGTGGTCGTAGTAGATCAAGTAGTCGTTGCTGTAGAAAGGCAGAGCCGCGTACGGCTGATAACCTGCGTGGGGGATTGATCTCGACTTGGTTGCTGCTCTCCCCACCAGAGCTGTAATGAATGTAGGTGTGGCTGGCTTGCACTCTCCACAGACTGGACCCTGTCTCTCCCTCTTACTTCCACACGTGCAATCCTATGCAGGCAGAACCGGCGGCCGTTCCTTTTGCACTCACTGCCGGCGGCGGTTCGTCTGTGCAACGGGATAGCTCTGATTGCTCAGGATAGAAGACACATATAGCACTTAGCTATGGGCATTGACTTGAGCCAAACGTTGCGTTGGCGGTCACATAGAAAGGTAAAGATGAGGGATGCGTAGCATGCCCCCTTAGAGTCGAGGGACGCGTAGTGTGCCCCCTTCTCTTGCACTTTACACGGTCTTGCTCACAGCTCTTATAGTGACACCTTAGAACCTGACAAGGCATCGCAGTCCGTTCGCACAATTCCTATGGAGACTATAGGGAATAAGGGTCTCTTCGAGGCAGTTCAGGAAGTTCCGAGTGGCTTCGTGAGCACTTCGTGGTCGAGATGTGCGACCCAATTGGCATCCTCAACCCTGAACCCTAGGCCATAAGCCGGAACCCAGCAACTCTTTCAAAGTCATGCAGTTATATTCGGGCCCCTGTGGCGCATCCCCCTATTTGGATGTCGACGGAACAGAGTATACCCTAAACGCTGAGCCCAGAAGGGGAAGCGAAAGTCTACACCGGAGGCAGCCTATGAAGAAGCCATGAACCTCGCCTGAAGGCCCAGTGCAGGGGGTGAGGGTGGATAAGGTTCAGGGTTTCAGGGTTTAGGGCTTAGGGTTTAGGGTTTAGGGTTTAGGGTTTAGGGTTTAAGGGTTTAGGGTTTAAGGGTTTAAGGGTTTAGGGTTTAGGGTTTAGGGCTTTAGAGTTGCTAATGCAGGATGCAGAGCAAAGTGAAGCTGAGCTTGGCCCCCAACTACGGTGTGCATGACCCTGCCAGACCTTGAGTTGAATCAGAAAAATTCAAGCCTGGGGTGTGTTATGTTGCTGCCTGTAACAGGAGCCGCAGAAATAGCATTCCTGATTAGTTGTTCAAGGTTCTATGTCCGCCAACCGCCCGGTCTCGGAGATTTCGGACCAGTCCACCCTGAATAATCCTAACACCCAAACTGCTTCTTCTGCTGCGTTGGGAAGCCCTAAACCCCAAACTCTAAATCCCTAAACCCATGCCTTGAAACTCAAAACCCTAAAGCCTGAAACCCTAAACCATAACCCTTCACCTTCAGGGCTTAGGGTTTAGGGTTTAGGGTTCTTACCCTCAGCCGTTCCCCCGGCCTTCGGAATAATCGCAGTAGCCGCGCTGTTATCCACCAGCTCAGATTCAGAGCACTCCTTTGAAGCTCGGGGGGCTTTTGGGGTTTTAGGGTTTAGGGGCTTAAGGTTTAGGGTTTAAGGGTTTAGGGATCAGGGTTTCGGGTTTAGGGTTTGGGGTTTCAGGTTTAGCGTTTAGGGTTTAGGAGGGGAGCACTCCTTTCAAGCTTGGCAGGCCTTGGGCTGCATGGTTTTGGGAGGTTCTGGAAACTACGTGTCCTCTACGTACGGATCCAGCCTGTCAGGCTCCTGCTGCTATGAAAGGTCTCTAAAACTACGGTCCCTTATTCTATGAACCTCTCGTGTTCCCCCAAAAACCGTAAACCTTATGAACCCCTCGTGTGGCGGTCCAGAGCCCTGAACCCCAGAGTTTGGATGAGCTGTGCGTTCAAAGCCAGGTCTCCTTTGCAAACTCCCCTACGCTCGCCGCTGGTTTTTTTTGGTGGTACGACTCTACAGGTTCTATGGGCAACCATGGAACTCGAAACCCGATCCTCATCCCTAGAACGCAAGCCTCTTAAACCCCCCATTCGCAAATCGTCACAAACCCCGCCGAGGTCGGAAACCTGAAACCCTAAACCCCACAGGGCCCCCAGCCCCACAGCCCCAAACCCTAAACCACCTGAGCCCGAAACTCTAAACCCTCATCCGCCTCAAAGACTAATCCACCTGAACCCTGAACCCTCAAGCCCAAACCCTAAGCAAAGCCCCACACCCTAAATCCTCATCCACCTCTAAAGCCCTAAGCCCTCAAGCCCTAAAAACCCGCACCCAAAGCCCCAATAAAACCGGAATTTCCTCCCCAAAACTGGCTCTAAACCCTAAACCCTAAACCCTAAACCCAGGAGGGGGGGGGAATTTCCTCCCAAAAGTGGCACCAACCCGACTCGAAGGAGACGGCTCCGCCGCCTATCCGCGTAGAACGAGGCTTTATGAGGATTCGTCTCAAGGATTATGGGTTTAGGGTTTAGGGTTTAGGGTTTAGGGTTTAGGGTTTAAGGGGGTGTTCGTGTTTATGGTGCTTTATGGGTGGCTGGGTAGTGATTCTTATTTCATGGGGCCTTGTCAGGGTTTTAGAGGCTTCGTAAAGGGTTTCATAGCGGTTCATAATGGCCCACAAGGTTCCGGGCTTAGCGGCCTTAACGACTGGACTATCGGCGATTCCTTTAAGGGTTCCTTAGAAGAGGGTACTTGTGTTTCTTGTAGCATTGTCAATCACTCAGGCTCTATATATATATATATATATATATATATATATATATATACATACATACCCCGGCAAGAGGTCCTGGGTTCTAAACTAGTTGGGGGGTTCGGGATTTAAACCTAGGGTTCAAGTTTTTTGCTGTGGAGCTGAAGGGCTTGGAATTTGGGAACCCGAAACCCTAAACCATAAGACCTAAACCCTACACCCAAAACCCAACACCGCTGGATGGTTCTGGGGCCCATGCAAGGTGAGTTTTGGGGACCGCGTGAGGTTCGGGCTCGGATTCCGGTGGCGAATGAAGTTTAGGGTTTAGGATCTAGTGTTTAGGGTTTAGGGTGGTAGATGTAGGTCCACCAGGTCTTTGAAACCTAGGCTTGCCCTGTCTGAAGGGTTTGGGTTTCAGGGCTTCGACAACGCCTGCGCTGACATACAACATCCTGCATTAAGTCAAATACCGCAAACTAATCTTGCAGCCCTAGCCCTTGAAGAAAGCCCTAGCGCCTAAAGCGGAAACCCTCGACCCTAAACCATCCTAAACCCTAAACTCAAAACCCTTTGCTTATGGATAACGCCGGGATTTCCCATCAACAGTACAGCATTCCTTCCTCCGACAAGCCGAGCTGCAGGTCTTTTGAGGGCAGTTGGGCGCTTTCTCGCTGTCAGCACACTTCTTCTGACACCTCAGGAAGACTCAAAACCCAAAACCCTAAACTTTCGGGTTTAGGGTTTGAAGCCCAATGACTCAATCTAGAAACCCTAAGCCAAACAACCTTCATGGTGTGGGGCTCCGAAGGCATTGAGGCTTGGAGGGCATATGGTGAAGCCTGAGGAACCCGATGAAGCCCAAAACCCACCCTGCAGACCCAGAGCCTCAAACCATAGGGGCCCCCACCCTGTAATAGTGACTATAAGGACTATATTCGGGCCCTATTATATTCCTATTATACCACTATTACAGGGTGGGGGCCCAGGCCACAAACCGCAGGAATTGAAATTGCAATCTCAAAACCCCGGAACCTTGAATCTCGACCCGAAAATCCCTGAACCTGAAACCCTGAACCCCCGCGCCGCAAGTCTTAGACCCCAAAGACGAAGCCAAAAGTGGAGGAGCTCGAGACCGCATCGAGTATAGTGCAGGTTCAAGAGGGTTGAGGATTCAAGAGGGTTGAAGGTTTAGGGTTTGGGGTTGAAGGTTTAGGGTTGAGGGTTTGGGGTTGAGGGTTTCGGGTTTGGGGTTTGGGGTTTAGGGTTTAGGGTTGAGGGCTTAGGGTGTAGGGTTTAGGGTTTAGGGTTTGCCGTAGAGTAGCGCGTAGGCGAAAGTAATTTGCGACAAAGTCCTGTCAAGTGCGTCGTACTACCGCGACCAGGTGCGAAAGCCTGATCATGGAAGGCTTTTCCTTTCTTTCTATCCCACCCCACGCCGTATGAGGCGGCCAAGCCACCCAAACCTATTCCTTTTAGGGTTTAGACCTAAACTCAGTTAGGTCCATCTTGGTCTCTATCTTCCACCTTCTGACCACAAAACTTCGGGCAGGGCAGGCCAGGTTTGGGGTCCAGGAAGCGAGCGGGGAGGGCCAAGGGGGTTTAGGGTGTCAGAAACCCAGGCTGGGGGGCATGGCAGTGGCAGGGGGGGCAGGGGCCAGGGGGGCCCAGGGGGGGGCCAGGGGCCAAGGTCAAGGGGCCGTCTTGGGTCGCTGGGCTTGAGCGCCGCCCACCCACAGTAGGTGGGCGGCCTATGCCTTGAGTTTAGACTGCCGGCTTGGAGTCCAGGGCCTGTGTCGAGGTTGAGGATTCCAGGCCCTCAACCCTCTACCGTCGACCCTTTAGTTCCCTTAACACTGGTTTGGCCCCGGGCTGTTCCACAGACAGGCCGGTGAAGCCATCACAGCTGGCATCCCGGTCGTTCCTCGGACAGAATTTACAGTCTAGGGTGGAGGTTTGGGGTCTAGGGAGGGTTTTGGTGTTTAGTGCGACATGTCGGGTTGCAAGCGTTGTCGGTTTAGGGCAGCTGGTATGCGAGGAAACCACGAGCGAAACAAGACTTTCAAGGGCGCTCTTCGCGTTTGCCACAAGGTCCCATTGGGCTCAAAGGCATGCTTTATGGAAGCCCAAACAGCACTACAGGGTTCTATTGGGTTCTTTGTTTCGTGCTGGTGCACCAAACACATCTACTAAGAATCGACTACAGTGTTCAATGAAGTCACAGTCGAGGGATTATGTTTGGGGTTTGGAGGCTTCGGGTATCAATGGTTTGGGTCTTAGAGCTAAGCAGCTTCAACGCTGAAGGAAGGGGAGGCAAGCAATGCAAACCCTAAGCCCTAAGCCCTAAGCCCTAAACCCTGAACCCTAAACCCTAAACCCTGAACCCTGAACCCTCACCTCAACCCAAAACCCTAAACCCTAAACCCTAACACAAAAATACAAGAAATGAACCTCAAAAGCCTGAACCCTGGCAGCCAAGCTACGTGAAGGGAGTGCCCCGACATTTCTTGCCGGTCACGATGTGGAAGACGCCCTGAGAGCTTGGGACACGGTTTGTACGACTCTACAAACTTCAAGCCAGGATTGGAGAAATACGAATCCCGTCAGCCATGGCCCCTTCACCACAAACCCTAAACGTCCTTCAACATTACAACTTATAGCAGGTCTGAGATAGTTCAACCCTTGACTAGATCCTGCACGGACCCTTTTTGACAAATCAATGCCCCATGAAGCCATTGAAAACCCCAAACGCAGTAGACCGCAAAAGACCCCCGAAGCCCTACGCCCAATACAGGAGCCTTAAGAACTCTAATAGGGTGTGATGGTAAAGTACCAAGGAACCTGAAAACAATAGTGCGGCTACTCAGGCTATAGCCAAAACCTTAAGCCCTAAACCCCCAACCTAAATCCCTAAACCCCCAAACCCTAAACCCCCTAAAAAAACCGCTTGCAGAAAGTCTACGTGGCCGGGGGATCCTCCACAAGGGGCCGGGTCAAGTCCTTCAGGGTTTAAGGGGTTAGGGGTTCAGGGTTTAGGGGTTTTGTGGTTCAGGGTTATGTCGACTGTAGGGCTCTAGGCTCTTCTGGTTAGTTTAGGGTTTAGGAACTTCGCGTGTGTAGCTGCGCGTCTTTCATCTCTCCTTGTGCCGCAGGAAGGGAGGATCGGCGGATAGCGCAGAGGATGCTAGCCCGAATACCCACTAAAGCCCTGACGATGACCATGATGATGCCTCAGGGAGATGATGATGATGATGCAACGGTGGGCCGTTTGCAGGCAAAACCTTAAAACCCTAAAACCCAAAAACCCTAAAACCCTAAACCCTAAACCCTAAAACCCTAAATCCTAAAACCCCGAAGACCCCCAAACCCCTAAACCGTATCCTCCAACCCCAACGCCCTATGCAGAAAGCTTTCGGGTCGGGGATCCTCGAAAGGCTGTGACAAAAGCAGCGAAACCCCACCAGCTCATAACAAAAAAAACGACCCGTTTAGGATTTCGGGGTTTAGGGGTTTAATGTGGGAACCTGATTAAGAAAGGGGGGGCCCCCCCCCCGCTATCAAGGTCACAAGCAAACCCCCCGAAACGATTAAGTGGAAGAACCTTGTTGGGGGTTTTGGGGGAAACCTTGTTCAAGGTCCCGGAGAACCTTGTTTGGGGACCAGTATAGTAGTGTAGTAGTACAGTAGTAGTACAGTAGTAGTACAGTAGTAGTACAGTAGTAGTACAGTAGTAGTACAGTAGTAGTACAGTTGTAGTACAGTAGTAGTACAGTAGTAGTACAGTAGTAGTGCAGTAGTAGTACAGTAGTAGTACAGTAGTAGTACAGTAGTAGTACAGTAGTAGTACAGTAGTAGTACAGTAGTAGTACAGTTGTAGTACAGTAGTAGTACAGTAGTAGTACAGTAGTAGTACAGTAGTAGTACAGTAGTAGTACAGTAGTAGTACAGTAGTAGTACAGTAGTAGTGCAGCAGTAGTAGTACAGTACCAGTAGAGTAGTAGTACAGTAGTAGTACGTAGTAGTACAGTAGTAGTGCAGCAGTAGTAGTACAGTACCAGTAGACCCTTCTATTCACGGTCCATAAGAAGGGTTGGGGGCTGTGGGGTCCTAACTAATCAGGGGCTGTAAGCTAGAAAATTAATTAGGGGGGTGCTGGTTGCTATGAGGGATTAGACCCTTTTTAATCAGGGGGTTATCTTTAAGAATTATTCAGGGTCCATAAGAAGGGTTGGGTGGTGTGGGGTCCTTACTAATCAGGGGCTGTAAGCTAGAAAATTAATTAGGGGGGTGCTGGTTGCTGTGAGGGATTAGACCCTTTTTAATCAGGGGGTTATCTTTAAGAATTATTCAGGGTCCATAAGAAGGGTTGGGGGCTGTGGGGTATCCTGTCTAATTGGGGTTCAATTGAAAGTCAATCAAATTGTTTGTCTGGATGGAACGAGCCTTTCTAATCGGGGGGGTTGTTTTTTAATTTTTTCATCTTTATTTGGGGTTCAATTGAAACACATACAAATCTGACCCCAACACCCGGCCCTGGCCTGCCTAATACGGGGAAATTGTTAATCAAGTTCCTACATTAGGGGTTTAGGGGTTTAGGGGTTTAAGGGTTTAGGTTAGGAGTTTAGAGTTTAGGGTTTACGGTTCAGGGGTCAGGATTTAAGGGTTTAGGACTTAACTTAAAACAAATCCTTCAACAATCCACATGGACCCCAACGACAACCTTCGAGGTCCCTTTCCCCCACCCGAAGGCTCTCAAAAGCCTCCCGACCCGTACACCAAGACAATGTATAAAGATCTCGAAATCACCTTTCAACGGCCCCCCTGAACCCTAAACCCTAAACCCTGAAACCCTAAAACCCTAAAACCCGAAAACCCTAAACCCCAAAACCCTAAAACCCTCAAACCCCTAAACCCTAACCCCCCCCCCCCCCCCCAAAGCCCTCTGACCTCCACCTTCTTCGTCTTCAGCTTCGAAGCGTCAGAGATGTTCCCCCCAACGAGGCTGGTGAGAGGAGGGCCTTGGGCCTTCTTGCCTGGGACAGTCTACTTGGAGGTTCAGGGTAGTTATAGTATAGTGGTTCCTTTAAAGGGGTCTATAAGGTATCTAATATGGACTTCTATAACCTGCGTGGAGGTTCAGGGGTAGTTAGAAGTGGGGTTCGGGGTTTTATTGCCTTTCAAGTGGGTTGGGCTTCCTGATTCAGTCTGCTGGCTGCAGGAACGCCCGAACCGAAACCCAAAGTCCATAGAGGTTCCTCAGTATCTGCACGGTGCCATCTGAACCCTCTGTGTCCTAAGCACCACTTGCGCTGCTCTTGCTGCTAGAGGACCTGTGGGTTCGGGAATATGTTTCGAGCTTAGGCGCTTGGGTCAGGGCTTTGCTTTGGTGGTGGTGCCTCGATAGCTTCACTCGGAGGGATCAATTCGAGCTAAGGTGATTTATAGTCTGCAAGCACAACAATGACCTGTCACATATACAATCGTTGATGTCAGGGTGCACGAACTTTGCACAGGCCTTTTTGGCACGAGTCCAGTCAAAGTTTTGCAGCAAGGTCCAGGTGGTCTTATGAGCTTTAGGGCTCAGCGTGTAAGCTAACCAACTTGATGAAGGACCACAACACGGAGGGCACTCAACTTTCAACACGAAGGCGCCTTCTGCATGGAATCGCACCTAAATCCGGTCTGCATGGTCAAACCTGACCCTATGGTGACACGAACCGTGATAGAACCTCTTGAACGGCTTATGGATCATGCACGCTTCCGGGATTGTAGCTCAAGGTTCAAGTTCGTTCAGGATTTACGGCTAAATACGTCCTACATCCGAAATGGGACTTTCAGAGTCCCAGTAAGCCTGCAACAACCCGTAAAGTCCTGAGAATTCCTAGAATAGAACCCGTATACAGCCCAACAACAACCCCTCAAACCATTTGAGAACCCTGAGAAAACAAAAACAAGAAAAACACCGTACCAAAACCCTACCAGCCAGAATAACACAAACGAAGAACCCCAGCGGAGTCCCAAGCGGCAGCTGCTTCTGCGCTCGCTGGCGTTTTGGTGCTGGGCGAAGATCCCAGGAAGATCCGGACGGCCCCTGGTCGTTGGGGGCACCTGCTCAGAAACCAGCCAAGCTCGCGGCTGAGGATCCTCCTAAACCCTAAACCCAAAGACCCCAAACCCAAGGATCCACCTTTAGGAGCCCGTAAAGAAAACCTCAGGGACCCTCTAAGGAGCCCTTTTGGGCTCCTTTCTAGGTGTTCAGGGTTCCTCCAAGCGCTCCGTCTTGAAGGGCTCCCCTTGAACCCTTGAAGGGGAACCAGAGCCCTTAAGGGAAGCCCAAAGTTCTGCTACACCCCAAACCTAAAATCCCAAACCCTGGAACATGTACTCGAAAATCCTGAAACCCTGAATCTTAAACCATAGACACAAAACGCAAAAAAATCGAAAATCTAAAACCGTAATCCCAAAACCTCCTGAATCCCAAGCTCCAAACCCTAAACCCCTAAGCCCTAAACCCTAAATCCGAAACCCTGAACCCCAAACCCAAAAACCAAAAATCGAGCCTCCGCAAGAACCCTAAACCCTAGATTCGAAACTCTGAACCAAAAAACCAAAATCCAAAAAACAGATTCGAAATTCTGAACCATAAAGGCAAAAACAAAAAAAAAAAGAGCCTCCGCCAGAGCGGTGTCGCCTCGGCTCTGCGAGCTCTCGAGGCGTGCGAGCTCCTGGCTCAACGCAGTCCCCAGAGTCTCCGATATCCCCTATTTAAGGAATACCTGGTTTAGGGTTTTAGGGTTTTAGGGTTTAGGGTTTTTTAAGGTTTAGGGTTTAGGGTTTTAGGAGTTTAGGGTTTAGGGTTTTAGGGGTTTAGGGTTTAGGGCTTTAGGGTTTTAGGGTTTTAGGGTTTAGGGTTTAGGGTTTTAGGGGTTTAGGGTTTAGGGTTTAGGGCTTTAGGGTTTTAGGGTTTAGGGTTTAGGGTTATTTTCTTTTTTTAAAGTTGATGTGCCCTTCTTTCTGCAAAGCGGCGCTGGCCATGTTGGCCTTCAACTTAGTGAAACTAAACACCCGTAGTTGTAGACGTCGTAGTTGTAGAGGTCACCGAGGACGTGGAGGACACCCCAGCAGTGTTTCCCAACCCAAAGGAATTTCGGTGGACTCGATGTGGACTACGTGAGCGACCAAGATCATCCCCATCTTCAGCATCGGCAGCACTTCCAGCACGAGGAACTTCAGGACGCAGGCCGTGAAGATGAAGAGGAAGTGTACATGGATCCAACCAAGCCGCTTCAACTCCCACCGCCAACCCATGAGCAACAACCTGGGACATTTCTCTCACGAACTCCGCACTGAGTTCCAGGAGTCGTTCCCTCTCACTGTCATCCGGAAGACGGTGTACTTCACCTGCACGGCTTTCCAGTATATTGCACACCCCTTGCATGGCTTCCGTCATCGTCCTCAGTGTATGAAGCAGAACACCCACATGCCATTGTACATCCGGATTCGTCAGTCGTTGTTCCTGAAGCCGCCGTAGTAGTTCACCCAGAGCACGAACACATTCACCACCCACAGAGTTCTCGTTTAGAGCCATGGCCTCATCCACATTCAGGAGCTGCATCAAGGAGTTGGCATCCTCACGACTGCCTGTAGTTTCCACCCCAATTGCATCCTCATTCGACTCTGCCTCCGCAGGGGCCACAGGAGGTGGACTTCGCGATCGACTGCGCGGCGATGCAGGAGGTACACCCCGCAAGTGGTCAGGAAGGGACTCCGGATCAAGCCACGCATCGGACAACCCATTGTGTAGTTCCAGGAGGTATGCTCGTGCACACCCCACTACAAGTTCGTGTGCCGCTTGTACACTTTCACCTCGTTGCTCTTCATCAGGTAGAGGTACAGCTTCACACCCACGTTGAAGTCGTCTGGTAAGGATAGCCATGATGTTGTCCTGCATCTCAATGGCCCTCTGAAGCGCACGCTCCGTGACATGGAGACACCACTGCACCGTTCGGGGGTCCAGATCAGCGGGCAAAACATTGGCCTCCGACTGCACCACCCTTTCGAGGAATGTGCCCAGAGCAGTGACAGTCTGGCGTCGGACACCCTTTGCAAGGAGTCGATTTGCTTCATCAGCTTGGAGTCGCTGTACCAGTGCAGCTCCATCACCACCACGTCCAGCTTCGCGGCTCACCCCGGAGTCATCTGAACCAGCAGGCGGAGCACTAGCCCCAGTACCAACCACCCGGCGTGTGCGTCGCGTCTTTGGCCTTGTAGAAGAAGAGGATGTCGAGGACGATGACGAGGAACTCCGTGCACCCCTGGTAGGACTTCGTGACCTATCGCAGGTTTCGGATACGTCCTCCCGCCCCGGTTCAGCGCCGCTTTGGACCATGTTTGCATCCACCACGCGCTCCAAGTAGGGTAGTAGCACAGCAGACCATTGTCTGTTAAACTCCACGCAACGCTGATGTTGCGCAAGTGCACGAGGCTCACGTACAACAGGGAAGAACGGAAGCGGCCCACCCATGCCAACACGACGCTCAAGTATAACCAGGATCTGTTCAAGTTGTTCACGCCCACGTCGCCATGCTTCCAACCAACGTTGTACACCCCACCGATACTCCGCGCCCACATCCTCCATTTGGTGGTTCTCCAATGTCCGCATCATATCACGTATCTCACGGCGAGTTGCATCAGGAACATCCAGACGATGTAGTAGGTCCTCCTCAGCCTCCGATAGCTGCATTAAGTTCAAATCATCACTCTCCGCGTCGTCAATGTCCCATGTAGGTAGTCCAGGCTCCACCCAGTCCACATAGAGTTCAGGCTGTGTCCATCTTTCCCAATCATCCCACTGTCGTCGCGACCATCGTGGTTCCAGCATCCACCCACCAGGTTGAGCATCACCCCAAACCGCCAGGGTTTTAAGGGTTTTTTTTTTGAACGGCTTTTTGCGACTGCTAGAAGAGTCTTCTATCTGCGCAATCCGTGTTACCGGAGGGCCGAAACCCTTGCATCCTCAGAACATCTCGATATTCACTCCCCTTCCGCGCATGTTGTTTGGGTGCCCTCTTCCTCGTCCTTCTCAGCCCCGCATGTTGCCCCGGTATTCACATGACTTTCCATGCTGTCATTGATGTCAATCTCGGTGGGAAAGATTGTTGCGTGGACCCCTTCGAAGACGCTGCCCATACTCCCCACCGCCATAGCCCTGAGTGCTTCCACCCTGCGATCCCATTCAGCACGTTCAACATCCCTCATCATCTCGACTTCTTGTGCAACTGGTAGGGCCAGTCCTTCCCGTACTAACCCTTGAAACCCTCGCAGCTATTCCGCACCAGGGCCAGCAATCACCTCCTGGTCCGTGAGAACGCCCTGGGTTTAGGGTTTTAGGGTTTAGGGTTTAGGGCTTTCGGGTTTTAGGGTTTAGGGCTTAGGGTTTAAGGTTCCTTTAAACGGATCTACCTAGGGTTCCTTTAAGGGTTTTACAAGGGATCTTTAGGGTTTAGGGTTTAGGGGACTTCAATATCCCCTAAGTAAGGAATACCTGGGGTAGGGTTCCTTTAAGGGATCTATAGGGGATCTATAAGGCTTAGGGTTTAGGGTCCGCAGAAACTCCAATATCCCTGAATTAAGGAATATTTCTTAAATCACAATAGAGATTGAGGTTTGGGGTTAAGGGTTTATGGCATAGGCTTCGGGGTCCTCAGAGACTCCAATATCCCCTGATTAAAATATAGTAGGATCCATGATATGATTTAAGGTACAATCCTTATGTAAGTGATATTGGAGTCTTTGAACCCGGGTTCAGGGTTTTGGGGCTTGTAGGGCTTTAAGGTTCGGGGTTGTTGTTTTAGGGTTTGGGGGTTTAAGGTTTTTAGCTTTTAAGGTTTCGGGTTTAGGGGCTTCAGGGTGCTTGGGGTTTCGGGCTTTAGCCTTTGGAGTTTAAGGATCTTGAGCTTTTGTTTAGGTGTTTACGCTTCTTTTTTTTAGGCTTTAGGCTTTAGGCTTTAGGGTTTTTGGATCTCGTTTTCTTGCGTGTTTTTGGGAAATCGAGGATCCTGCTATCTGACCGCCCTTTGACTTGAAGTGCGGCGCCCCAGAAACTGCAAACCTCTTAGACCTCAAGCCCTAAACCCTAAACCCTAAACCCTGAAACCCTGAAACCCCTGAACCCTCAAAGGCGAAAAGCCTTTGTCGGGGCTTGCATGTGCCTCCTTGAGTCCGGCGTCTTCGTTCTTGAGCTCCGCCAGCTCCTGCAAGAGCTAAAGGGTTCAAGGGTAGAAGAGGGTTACTGATCTACAGCAGCGTTGCATGGTATAGGGGCCTCAATAGTTAGAATGGGGTTTTGGGGCATTATATACTAAAGAAAAGGAGCCCCCCAGAAATGCAAATTGAGAAGTATTCAGGCCGCTATATTGTTACCAAAGCCTTTTCTTGTTTAAACTGCTGTGGTGTTGTCATTGGCCTGGCGGTCTTATGATGACCATCAGCATCAGTGTCATTAGCTTGGCCCTGCACTGATTCTAAGCTTTGGGTCCACCGGTTCGAACTGATCGTTGCAGCTGAAGGACGTTACAACCTCGGCTGTGAAGTTTTTAACCTAAGTTGTCTTTCTGAAATTTTATATCGACATCTCCGGTAATTGCCATTCCGGGAGTGGTCGGCTCAATCTGGCCTGGTTATGCCCAAGAGATGTGGTTTAGGGTTTAGGGTTTATGGCCCACGACGTTCTCAAACATCCAATGAACCACCTGTCAAACATGTGAAGCATACTGCGAAGGTTGACGCAAGTTCAATGTAGCTCCGTCCAAATTTGATAAATGCTTTGTCCATTACATGTCACTGGCATTCACACCGCAAGACCCGTACAACATGAGGGACTTTACAATCACAGAAGGCTCTTGGCGTCTGCGGCGTAAACTAAACTGTACTTATACTTGGGAACCCGACAGCATGTCCTATTCTAATTATTAAGGGCCCTACATGAAATGCGACAAGAAGCCATGTTCGCTTCTGCCTGAACAGAATACGTAGTGTCGTTCCGATTGACCATCCTTTCGCCTACAACAGTGACTTGAATGAGAGCTGAACAGGGGAAGAAGCCAAACCCTCAATCCTCAGGACTGAGACCCTTAACCCCGCCAGAAGTGTAAATTCTATACGTGGATGACGATCCTTGCTACTCTCTGGTTTGAAGTATCATACTCCCACCATAACAACCTGACCTTAACTTCTTCGGCATTTGTTTGGGGGAGCGGGGGAGGATCATTTGATAAGCTGTCGTCCCTGAAGTTGCTGTGAAGAATCCATAGCACCAGCAGGCCCTCAAAATCTCATTCATGTTCGGACATCCCGGTTTTCCACACGAGCTGCAGTGGCCTCATGGCTGACAGGCGCCCGTGCTACATTTGGACTGGGAGTCTAAGGGAGACGAGATCGAACGCTGGAGGCTTTGACGTTGGGCTGCAACGCTTCATCGAATGTCGCCTCTTCCTCTTCTTCGTCGACGGTTGGCCTCTTGTCAGGTCCCCTGCGCCATGAGGAACAGCATTGCAAATGTGCCATGCAGAGCAGTCCATGATCGAGCTCCCTCCTCCCTCAGCTTCAAATGGCCATTCCCCAGCATCAGAAGTGGCTGCAAGCCATGAACCATCATGCACTGAGACCGCATTGCAGCACGATAGCCTGCGTTCACCGACAAGAAAGCCTGAAAGCTACCAATCCAGTTTGCCAGCATGCACACAATCATCACATAGAGCAGGCTTCGTTGTGTTTTGCTGCTCAAGTTCAGATCAGGGAACAGCAGTTGGGGAACCGTCTCGTCGCCCATTTTGCCGTGAAAGGTGAGGTAACCAGGATCGCGAAAACGAAGTGCAAGCAGGAACGAACTCATCACCATCACATAAAACCCAAGATGAATCCCAAATACGATCTGCAACGAGAGCATGGCTGCCCAAGCAAGAATTGCTGAGCCCTCGCCGTCTCGAGCCTAAATTGACTCACGTACGGCCTTGAATTAGCCAGAATTAGGGTCCGGGCGTAATAATGTCAGTTCGAAACCAGGAAACCCCTAAACCTTTGAAACCCAAGTCAGGCGGATCTTCTGCGCGCCTCGACGAGGCCAGTGTCTTTGGCCTTGAGATCCTTGAGCTCCTGCACTTGGGAGGCTTCATGGGCAGTTATAAAGTAGGGTTATAAGTAATCTCCCTAAAAAATCCTAAAGTCTAAACCCTAAACCGTGGTAACTTTTTTTAGGGGACTTATATCCCCGCGTATTACTACCCCTGAGCCTCCAAGCAGGGCAAGCAGGCTGATGGGGTTTCAGGGCTCACAGTAGGACTTCGGGTTGGCTTTTGGAGAGGGTTGAAGGGTTGAGGTTTGGAGTTTAGGGTTGAGGGTTTAGGGTTGCGGTTCGAGGTTTAGGGTTTAGGGTCTAGGGTTGAGAGCATAGGCTTGGGGTTAAGGTTTTGCGGTTTAGGTGTCAGAATTCAGGGCTACGGGCTTGGAGGGCCAGGTGGGACGTGAACAGGAATTTTGTTGCTAAGCTGCCTTGCCAATGCAACCAAGGCCAAGAATGACATAGGGGTCTCAACAGTCAGTAACAGTGTGCCATTGTAGTATCCAAAAAGTCTATTCAAAATGCTTCTAAGCCCCCAAAACTGACCTGGCCGTGTGCTAGTAACGTATGTGGATGACTGTCACAACACCCCTTACTGCGCGACGCACCATGCTACCTTTCCACCAAGCCTGGAGGGAAGTCAATCAACAGACCTATGTTGCATGGACCCTAAATCTTAAACTCCTGACGCCTCAAAAACAGGTAACGGAACACCGAAACCGCAACAGGACGCTGAGAGGCAAGCGGAAGACACTTCATTCTCAGATTTAATCAACACCAGCGAACAAGGATACTGAGCTGCTTAGCTGGTCGACTGCTGGTAGGAGTAGTAGGACCCAGCAGCAGACGACGCCTCAAGGTGTGGGTTCTCGTATTCTTCGTAATGGCATTTGGTAAAGTCGTTCTTGCTTAAACGCCCTTGGCACGCTCCTCCTCCAGCTTCCCCATGGCCTTCAGCATGGATTCCTCAAAACCTGGGGCGTGGCTTCAGAAGCACCGTCCAGAGGCACTGCGAACAGAGATGCTGTTACATCGAGGTTCAGCACATCGACCAGCATTTCTGAAGAGCCGCATGCTGCCCCCTATAGTCCCATTTTGAAGGCGTCAGGCTTAGACATGAGGAGTACATTGGGGTTTTTAGTGTCGGTCTCGAGCTCAGAACCACTGCGGATACCACCGAGAGGCTTGAAGTACCACGATGCTTGAAGCGAGCCCAAAAGCTTTCAGCCTCTAAACACGACGCCGAGCCCAAACAAAGAAGCTCGTAAACTGCGGTCACGTGATCTTGGGGTTTCTGGAGGGTAGTGACATGTGGCATTCTAGTATGTATGTATGCATGTACGTATGTTTGTATGTATGTATGCTCCTAAAGCTTCTCAAACCTAAACCGCAACCCTCAAACTCAACACAGCTCTAAACCCTAAACCCCTGACCCTCCCCACGCCCCTCCACCCCGTGGCGAAGCTGACGAGATGCCGGTTTTCTCCAACGCCAAGGCCGCGGGCTTCGTCTGAAGGAGCCCAGTACCCATCGCAGCTCCAGCAGGGGTCTCCTGGTTTAGTAGGAATAGTGATATTAGTAGTACTAGTAGCATTAGGAATATTAGTAGTATTAGTAGTATTAGTAGTATTAAGAATATTAGTAGTATTAGTATTAGGACTTCCGAGGGGCTCCCAGGGGTGAGGGTGTAGGGTTCAGGATTTAGGGTTTACGGTTCTTTGCAGCGAACCCCAGAAAGTTGTAACATGGATTTAGGAGGATTAGTGCTAGGTTCCCTTATGCTTTACTTTAGGGGCATGAGGATCAGAATGTTTCAACTTTCTGGCTTCTACAATAAGACCTTTCAGGGTTCTACCTAAACCCTAAACTTTATAGATCCCTTAAAGGAGCCCTTATATATCCCCTTATGAACTTTCTGGATTCGACTCTAGGGCTCCTAAGGTCTAGGGATTCAGAGGTTTAGGGCTTAGGGTTCGAAGGCTTAGGGTTTGGGGTTTTGGGTTTTGGGGTTTAGGGTTTAAGGGTCTAGGGTCTAGGGTTTAGGGTGTAGGGTGTAGGGGTTGAGTTTAGGGTTTAGGGTTCAAAGGCTTGGGGTTTAGTGTAGGGCTTACGGCTCCTAGGGTTCAGGGTTTACCATGAGACTGGCATTTGGGACTTTGCACAACCGATTGTAACAGCCACAACATAGCACAGTAGTGAACGGAACAGATTAGGACAAGGTAGACACAATAAGCCCTTTCATGCGAAGTGCCAGTGGTTGCCTCATTAAACCCTATCGCCGCAGGTGCTGTACGAGCAAAGGCAAAGAAAATAACTAGTTCTAAAATCCCAAATGCTGGTTTGAGCCGATTACACAGTACACCGACAACAGCATTATCTTTGGCTTCAATGTCTTGAACCCACGGTGAGCAGTTTCAAAAGAGCACAAGCACGCGCGCTGGAAAAACAGCGGATCATGAAGAAAATGTGCCATTTATTCTGCCTCCTTCCTTAATCGTAACTGAGAGAACCTAGATCTGAAATCGTTAGAGACAGATATCTGCACGGGATTCTATTCCAAAGAATAGTTGGGGATCTCTTGTTTAGGGTTGTAGGAACCAGGTCCCAGGGCAGCCTAGCGCTTTGGGGTTTGAACACTTGGAGGTTCATGGGTAGTTATAAGTAGGGTATACTTATAACCCATATTAGGGGACTTATAACCCAACTTATAGCTACCCTGAACCTCCAAGTAAGGTTTGGGGCTTTGGGGTTTGTAGGCCTTGAAGGCTTCAGGGTCTTGGGGCTCGAGGATTTCAGGCTTTATTTGGGTTTTCGGGTCTAAGGTTTCGGGCTGAGGGTGAGAGTTTAGGGCTTGTTTCGTGTTTTGACATTTTTTCGGCCCCTTTTGCTGTAGAGTTTAGGGGTTTAAGGTTCAGGGTTTCTGTCGCCGAGTGCGACAGTTGTGATCACTCGGAAATGTCTCCTCTCTCCCCTTCGCCTCTTCAGCTACGTCCCCATTATGGGGACAACTGCTTGTTTGAAACGTTCGCTCATTAAACCATTAAACTGCATGTTTTGGGAAACGCAACACAATTGCACACTAGTGAATACGGATTTCAGGCTACACAGTTATGGGCCATTGTGGGGTTTGGGGCTTTACGGTGTCGCGGTTCAGAGTTTCATTGAGGAGGCCAGCGTTTAGAGCCTTTCGGAATCTCGGCTTGTTCGTTAAATCCCAAACCTTCAACCATCAAAGGATCGTTCTATCTAGTTGCTTCTTGCAACCTGACGCTAGCCTCGAAGGCACGATCCTTCTGTACACGTGCTTGTTTGGTCCGCCAGGTGCAGGACACCCGGTCCTCCGGGCGCACATTGCACGCCTGGGGCGCCGAAGATGCAGCCAAGAGCGACAAAAGCGCCGCCTGCTCTCTGCGGTGTTGAGCTTCTCTGTTGATTTTTCGGTTGTATGCTTCAGGGACTTGACTTGAGCGTTTCGGGTGTTGGAGCAAAAATTCAGTTCCAGTTTTAGGATTCTGGGTCGGTTGTGCTACGGCTTGCATGCCAGTTGTAAGTTTTCAAATCCTTTCAAAGCCATCGGCTGGAAAGAAAGAAACTTCTTATGAAGGCTTCGGTGCTTCATGAGCATGCTTCAGTGTGCACGGCTTTTGGGCCCAAAGCCGCGCATCAGCCCATCAACCACTCAACCCTAAACCCGAAACCCTAAACCCGAAACCCTAAACCCCTAACCCCGAAACCCCTAAATCCCTACACTAAACCCGATCAGCCGATCGGCTGGCGCAACTTGGAAACCCACCTTGCGAGCACAACCGGGTTCTAGAACAGTTTGCACAAGGGAGATGGTTTTAGTACGGGAACTTGAAAGGAAGTTCTTCCGGAGCCCGGAATGGATCCTGAACATTCGAGCGGTTGCAAGGCCTGAGCCCACCTGCACCGTGGTCAAGCTTCGTGAGCTCCATATCGGATGTATAAACGGTCCCATTGCGGGCTCTACAGGGTACTACTACTGAGCTGAAGGATGTACGAAGCCCGGGCTCTCCTTCAAGGTCAATCCTCCTGAGCTCTGGGGTTTAGGGGTCTAGGGGTTAAGGCCTTAGGCTTTAGGGTTTAGGCTTTGGTGATTTGGAAAACTCTGGAAATCGGAGATCTTCGCAGCCGTGCCTGGAAGATCATGAAAAGCAGCGAAGCTGCGGCCATCCTAGGACGGCAAAAGCGGTACTGACCTCGGTAAAGTTGCCTCGAAGGGCTGTTCGGAGCCAGGAGAGGACGGTGGCGGGAAACGGAGCTCATACAAGGGCTTTGAATAAATGTAAGTAGGATTCCTTTAAGGGCTCTTTAGAGGGTTCTATAAGGGTCTATAACAGGGCTCTATGATATAAGGGCCGTAATAAGTAAAGTAGGGCTTTGGGGTATACTAGGCTACTTATAGTAAACAACCCCAAAAATAGTACTGCCAGTTGTTTAAACCCCTATATTAGTCGCTCTTAAAGGCTGGAGGGCACGGGAGAAGACTGCCAAGGCAGTAAACTTATGCTAACCCACACCGATTTGAAACAACCTTGCGGGGCGCATAGTATACTAAAGTATCCTTCTGCCGTGCTATTTCATATAGTAAGAAAAAGAAGCATGTATATGTATATATACATATAGACAGATTGACTAATATTGCTTGGTAGTTACATAGATAGATCGATAAATTGATATAGTAAACTACACTCTAGCACTGTACATGGTTGAGTTATCCAGCAAATGGCATTTTTTCGCTTCCCTATACAGCCTAATCTGGTCGCGGCTGAGCTTTATGCATGCTCCCAGAGACCATTAGAATGCAGAGGGGGACGAAAGGCGCTTCGTGGTTGTGTCGTTGAGTTTTTCGTGAGTTCAAAGTGCAGGATGTAGTGAGAAGTCGCCAAACACGGCTGGTTCGACAAACTGGGGTGGTTTTAGTTTGGGTGACAAGTGTCACGTCGGAAGCCGAAGCCCGGCCCTGCGTTGCCAGCGAAAGCCAACCGGCAACAATTCGTCGGCCGGCGGCAATTGTAACTGGCCCCGATGGGGCGCCACTTGAGTGCCTGAGCTCAGAAGCCTTTCTGCATGCTGCTGGTCCCGTGTGTACGCTGCCGTGGCCCGTGGCCAGTGCTATTGCTACTTACTGCCAAGCGGCAGACAAAAACGGGCAGAAGAAGCAGCAGCTGCGCTTAATCAGAAGTCCGGTTCTAGCCAACAACAAATAAATGCGCATCTTCTTTGTTCACCGCTGATGTTAATGCATGCTTGGGCATTGTCTCTTTTGAGGATCGTGGTTTAAGCACGTGAGACTTGGCCAAAGGTACATAGAAACTGAGATTCAAACCCACTGGGCTCGACTGTCCCGCGACCGTAATCCTGACGAGGCCTGGAACCCATTCCGAAGGTTATACTTTATCCAAAAGGCTCCGTAGAAAGTGCATGCCTGTGGCCCGACTTTAGAATGAAGCAGGACCTGTTCGAAGGTCTTGGGACTGGTCCTGGAGTCTCAGCACCGTTGCACCGGCGAGTGTTCTTTCGCCATGTCCACAATTTGTGAAATCGCTGGAGGCCCTGAAATCGCCATCAGACACGAGCTACTCACTAAAGGGTACTCCCAAAATCGCAGGCCTTCCTCTTCAAGGAAGGAAAAGATACCTTTTAGTGTGGCTGACATCAGCCCAGCATAGCCAGGACAAGCCAGGACAGGGTCCCTGGAACTGCGGAGACTGCGCCAGCTTTGTCGACTTCAGCTGTGTAGGACCACAGCCGGTCAGAAATCAAACCGAGACTATACCGTGTCTTCCCCGGAGTGCGAATTGCATCAACACTTTGTCCTCCGTGGATCCAGATACCATCACAGCACAATGAGCCGTCCGTGAAGTACTCTTGGAAGACAACTGCCTCCGCTTGGCTCAGAATAAAACTGCCCTACCGTCAAAATGCGACCACAGTAGCTGCCGAGGTGCAGCCTGCCAATACCCTTCCCCCTCAGGAAAAGAGAGTGATGTGTCTTTCCAGCGGGCATTCTCAGGTGCCAACGGGTCGAAGACAAATGTTCCCGAAAACGGACTCCCACCCACAAGCTGCAGAGTCTGCCGATCCTCCCCGAAATACAGATCCCTCTCGAGGTACAGCGCACGTGCCCAAAACCTGGGCATTGGGAAGAGCGGATGACATGACAAATCGGAAACTTGAATTCACTCAAAGCCCTGAGTGGCGTGAAACTGAACAACAACAACAACAAAGTCTCACACATCTTGCCGAGAAACATATTGTGAAATGCCCTTACTGGGGAGCGCATATCAGGAGGACCCCGGTCCCACCAAACACCTGGTTCTTGCGTTGGTTGGTGGTATTCCTCTTGGCTTTCTTTACACGATGCTGGGGAAGGTACAAGCTGAATTTCCGATGTTATCACTATTATGTTAAGTAATGCTTTTTACTGTCGGTATTATTAATGTTATTCTTGCTATTATTGTTGACCCGAAGCGAAAGGATGCTGACCGCTCCACAGCAAGCTGCTCAGAAAACTCGACGACTGGCCGATCCCTCCTTGGTAGAGACCGCTGCGTGTATAGCCATCCTCGCCTATGCCACCGTGGAGCCAGAGACCACCGTCTCTTCCGGTGGCACTGGCATGCCCATCTCCCTTGTTTCGCCTGCGCGGCTCCAAGCATCCCAGATCTCAGCTGCTCTGCAGCTCGTGAGCGAAAGGCCTGTCGGAGTTTCTCAACGTACAAAGGCCAAAGGCTCAGCTGAAGAAGAGACCACTTGTACAAGTGACCTTCGTTTCCTTCAGCCGCGGGTGGGCTGGGAGGGAGATCTTGAGCAATCGCCGCATCGGTTGCTACACTGCTGGAGAAATTAGGCATCTCCCTTGTTTCGCCTGCGCGGCTCCAAGCATCCCAGATCTCAGCTGCTCTGCAGCTCGTGAGCGAAAGGCCTGTCGGAGTTTCTCAACGTACAAAGGCCAAAGGCTCAGCTGAAGAAGAGACCGACTTGTACAAGTGACCTTCGTTTCCTTCAGCCGCGGGTGGGCTGGGAGGGAGATCTTGAGCAATCGCCGCATCGGTTGCTACACTGCTGGAGAAATTAGGCATCTCCCTTGTTTCGCCTGCGCGGCTCCAAGCATCCCAGATCTCAGCTGCTCTGCAGCTCGTGAGCGAAAGGCCTGTCGGAGTTTCTCAACGTACAAAGGCCAAAGGCTCAGCTGAAGAAGAGACCAGCTTGTACAAGTGACCTTCGTTTCCTTCCGCTCCCTCAATACTGCGAAGCACCCATGAAGTACAAAAGCAAGCTGTCCACAGCCTTGTCAAGGAGCTTGATCCTGGCACGGCAAGCCGGCTCAAGCTCGGAGAGCAGCATCTGAGCTGCGACTTCTTGCAATATATACTCCAAAGTCTTGACGCGTGCCCATCTTCCTCGCCAGGCCAAAAGCGGAATGTTCTCCGTGCACATGTAGAAGTAAGTGGCGCCCGAGCCGCGAAGGACTCCGGGCGTCGCGCCCCGATCTGCAGCTCGCACTGGCAGCCCCAGCCTGCCCAAAACAGCGTCCCATTGCCGACGGAAGCTGTGCATTGAAGCAGGGTAGATGCGATCGTCCAAACTCAGATGCCTCACCACAGAGTAAAGGAAAGCGATCGCAGACGCATCATCGATGCGGCCGTGCTGCCTGCGAGCAAACCTGCTGGTCTTAGGGTTTCTTAAGTGCACAAACAAACTGCTCGTGTGGCCCAAGGTGTCTTCAGGAAAAACCAGGTCGCGACGTGTCAAGAGCACCAGTTCGCCAGGATGAAGCATAGCCAAAAAGCCAATGATAACCAAAGCGGCCCAGCGGTGCCAATCCCACAAAAGCGCCACGCTCAGCGCCGCGCGCACGGCCGCGACGGGCAGGACAGGCCTGCACTCGCCGGGCTCAGCGCGTTGCCACTTCTTGTCGATCTGCCAAGCCGCCGTCAGAAAGTTCCGATGCTGCGGGAAAGCATCCTGGACGGCCGTGATGGCGTAGACAAACAGGTAGCGTGGCAGCCCAGTCTGGTAGAGGTGTAGGACGAACCCCCTCAGGGCCATGGCCGTACTTTCTGCTGAAGCGAACACCGACTCCGGCAAACTGCCGACTTCCTCAAGGAGCCAGGTCTTGAAGCCCTTGAAGCTCTTCTCCATCTTCTGCGCGGTGCTCACGGCAAAACCGGCCTGCAAGTCCAATGGTCCTCGGGGCGCGAAGTCTCGAGTCTCGCCGTCACGAAGCCGCTGCAGCCAGCGAGGTTCCTCACGAGTCGGGGCAGCGACAGCTTTATCGCGACTGGGGTTGTCAGCGACGTTGTCGCCCGAGTACGTGTGCAGGAGACTAGAGTAAATCCCGGAGCCTAGAACATAACCCAAACAACCTTGGAGAATGCGGGAAATGGCAAAGCTACTGGATCGACCCTTAGCGGCAGCCCCTATGGTGACTCGCGAGTCCAACAACGCAGCCGCTCGGACTGAGCAGGCTCGCTTCGCAAGGGATTTAATCCAAGACTTATAAACCCTAGCTTCATTGACGTTGATGTGACCCGGCTTCTTGAAGGCGTAACGGAAAAGTTCACGAAACTGCAACGAACGACAGACTTCCGAAATCCATTCAGGGTCCTCGTGCCACTCGCGGGCGACATAAGGTGCATCAGCTGCGGCATTTAAGAGGTCTAACCCCAGATCACATCCGAAACGAGCAGCAGTAGCGCAACGCGCCCTCGGCGGCATCGCCGGCACATAGCCGCGGGCCGCAGCAGCGGAGCCTGCACCGATGCGAGTTGACGCACCCAGTGGCAGTTAAAGTCTGCCCAGGGAGAGCTGCAGAACCGTAAACCCTTTCAAAAGAAGGCTGGCACCGGGACCTGAACTGCTCCAAGGAACCTTCGTCGAAAGAACCCTCACAGGGCCAGTGAGAAGCGCCCTTGCAGTCACAGGGCCGAGCTAAGGCGCACAGCCAAGGTTTGTTGTGCAGGAGGTCGGTGCTCCGCAAGAAGGGGCTGCCGAAGCCACAGTAGCAGAACGAAGTCAGAACGCAGCCCAACTGCACCAGGGTGCCAAAAAGCATGGCAAGGACCAGGCGAGACTGCCCCGCGGTTGCTCGACTGACACAAACTGACCGTAGCGCACAGCAGCCGTCATCACCAGACCAAGGCGCCTGGCCGAAAGCAGAGCGGCAGCAGAGGAGCCAGCCGAGCACGAATGCAGCTTGCTCAGGGCAGGGTACAAACAAGCGCTGTGCCACTCCCGAACAACGCGCCGAGCAAGGCTCAACAGCTCATGTGCAAGGCCACGCGAGACATGGCTATGGTTGCGGCCTCCAGACCTATCTAGGGGAAAAAGAACCCGAAGCCCCGAAAGTTCAAGAGCGGAGCCCCAAGAACGATTACACCCACAAAGGACAACCGCGTCAAACAGCAAGCCCTCCCGCAAAGGTCTAGGAACGAGCGGGTCCCATCGAGCTTGATGTTGAAACTCTTCAGGCGTTGAGGCAACATCACCGAAAAGTTTGTCACCCTCATGTGCGATGCCTTTCTCCGTCAGAAGTGCAGACACGGTGCTTTCAAGCCTGGTGTGGTAGCCCCGGAGCTCTGAAATACCCTCGCAACCGATAGAGGTGGCGCAAATAGCACCAGCATACGGTGAGGCATCAAGGCAATACAGGTTGGGGTCGTAGGTCGCCCGAAGGTCGCAAACCAAAGTGCTACACAAGCAGCCTGGCATCTGCAGCTCGTTGCGGGCCATGCTCGACAACCTGAAAGCCTGATTCCGGGGGAACTCCAAGCCCTCACGAAACAACTGGTCAACGACAGAGAAGACGGGCCGTCGAAAGGTCAAGGCATGAATCCAACACCCGACGATCCGATCAAGCAGCTCACGAGTGGCATGCCCTCTTTTTGCGAGCACAACGCTAAGCAAGGCTAAGCTCAGCACGCGGTCCCGCGGTGGGCCCACAAGCCCTGCAATGCCGTCCAACTCGGCCCCTAAAACGGTGCCACGAAGCAGGTTCCTGCGCTTCTTGCGATCATTCAACACAAGGCCGGTGTGCTTATAAGCAACCGTGGCACCATTCATGATGGCCGTGTCCAGCAATTCAGGCTTGGTCGAAATTTTTGCAAGGGGCAGCTTCTGAAGCGTGACATGGTCGTCAATCGAAAGAAGTTCGACCGTATCGGTTTTGGGAATGGGGTGCCTATACAGCAGTGTTTCACAAGGAAGAAGCGACCCCACATGATCACGTAAAACCCGAAAGTGCGCAGCCTGCCCTACCTCCACAGCAACATTATCCCCCATGGCCATGGTGGCTAAAGAAAGAAGTTGCGGTCCTACCATCGTCAAGCCCTTTGCTGCCGAAAAGTGTGCAACCTCAGCCGGCGCGAAAGCACAACGGAAGCTGCTCCTGATCGCACGCTGCTCCGAGACTTTATAGGTGTAATAGTAATCCGAAAGATCGTCAGCGTTAAAGCGGAGCCCCTGCAAAGGTGAAAGGGAGATCATCGTCAGGAGGCAACCTGGTGCAAGCGACTTCGAAAACCTAGACACCGAAAAGGACCTCGAGACCTCGAGTTGCTGACCGTAGGATTTATGATGAGCCTATCGTGGGTTGCGCTTTTTGCAACAGCAAATATACCCACCGCTTCATCCCAATCGACAGTGCTAGCAGGAGTGATGCGAACAGAACCCAACCTATCCCACATCTCCCCTAACTTCAGCAACTCGGCACGAGAGCAGTGGATGCGAGCCGGTGCGAGCTTCGGCCAAGAATCCCTGGGGCGCTTTAGGGCGTCGGGGTTATCGAAGGCATGCTTAAGGAAAGGGTCCAAGTACGGGGACGGGTCGAAGGAAGGCGGGTTCTCCCATTTAATGCGGCTCGCAACGACGGGCAGCGCCACTCCAGAACGAAAGTTGATAAAACGGACAGGCTGCACCGGTGCACTCACCACCTTGCGCGGACCGGAAGCATGGTCTTGGCCGGCACAGTCATCACGCGGGTTTTGGGGCCTAAGGTGGTCGTAAGGAAGGAGGGAAGTATGCAAACAGGCAGCCCAATCGAACAGGTCCACATCCCTAAGGTTGTCTTGGGGCAGTTCCTTCATCACTTGGGTAAGGCTACCTAATTTATCCGCGGCTCGGCCGAGATCATCCGCTGCAAAGGAAGGCACACGGAGCAGATATAATCAAGCTGGCGTTCAAGAAGATCCAACACTCGCTGTTGTGCAATGCTGGTTGGGTCACCTAGACGGGCGCCTACGGGGGCACGGTGGGGGTGGCCTAGGCATTCCCAATTAAGTGCGCAAACTACCAATTGCAACATGCGAGAGCGAAGCCGGAGTCTCCTTTGCCGCCGTCGGCTGCGGCATCCGCCGCGGGTGCAAGCGGTCCATCGCCACCTAGGTGGCGGGACCGGCCAGAGATCAGATCCTGCAGACCTGGTCTGTACGTTGCAGGCACGGGTTCTAAGAGCGTCTTTGGTAAACCAAGAGAGGCAACTATGAGAACCGAAAAAGGTATTAACTAAAAGAGTTCCTAAATTCAAGGGGTCGATCAAATCTGCACAGTGTGGATCGAAATCGGGAAGCTGAGCTTTGCGACGGCCGCCCTTTGGGAAACACTTTGCATGACTCCCTAGAGCAGGTCCCGAAGCAGAACCCCCAACCGAAACCCCAAAACCTATGCATTCTGATTGGTGTTCTTCGGGCGTCTCGGGGGCCGTCGCGGTGGCTGGCTTTCCTCCGAGTCGCCGTTTTCCTGGCCGGTGTTCTGAGGCGTGCCGCCCTTGGGCGGCGGAGGCGGGCGCCCCGAGCCCAGCTGGGCTATCCTGCTTTCCGCGTAGTCTAGGTCCTTCAGGTATGCTAGGTTTGCAGCAACCCACTGGGCCGGGGCGAGACGACTGAAAGTGCGAAGGCCTGGGACCCGACGTACATTGAACCCTAGGGGAGAGGGATCGGGGAACCCTGCAAGGAGATACCCTAACTGAATCTTCCCTGAATCCAAGGAGGCCTGTTCGCTGAACACTAGCAGTCGACTCGCAAAAGCCATCAGCTCGGTGTTCTCGCCGCGGTAGCCGGCCTTCCAGCCGAAAGCAGCCATCATCGCCACATGTTGCAGCGTCCGCTGGTCTGCCAAGGGCGGCCGCTTCTCCACCTAGGTCCGCATAAGGCCCGGCTCCGGGGCCGACAACCCCAACTCGGTCAGCGCATTGGCCTGGATCTTTGCAGCTGTGGCTTTCGAATCCGTCAGTTGCCGCAGGAAGGCCTCTCGAGCCAAATGCCCTTTGATGCCGCTGCTGCTGTCGCTGCCGCTGGCCCCGCCTCCGGAGAGGGCCTCTTGAATCCCGTCCGCGGTCCGTCCGCCCAGCTTGGCAATGAGAGCTGCATTCTGTCGCATCTGGGCAAGGAGCAAGGACATGCTGCAGCTCGGCTTCCAAGGTCGGATCCTCCACGTCCGGCGGTGGCAGCGCTTCGGCCGCCGGACCTACAAGATGCTCCAGTGCGGCCCAAGGCAGGTCGAGCAGCAAGACGTGCGCGGGCCCCAAGTGTCGTCCTCGAACCGTCTCGGCCTGGACCTGCTCCCTTTGTATCAATGCCAGCGGCTCGCCGTCTTCGGTGAGCAGGCCCTCGACGTACTCCCGGATCCGCGTGGTGTGGGGCATCGCAATCATGAAGCCATTCGCCCGAGCCCGAACCAAATATGCCACTGAAAAATCGTCTCGTCCCTCGTCGCCTGCAGCCGCGAGCACAAAGTAAGCAGGAGGAAGCGGCCGGTCGGTAGCCACATTCGCCACCTGAGCCTCCACCGAGTCGCGGGTCAAAGCCCGCCTCACTGCCGCATGGGAGGCCATCCCCGGTCTGCCCCCAGGAGATAGGCTTCCACTTCACTCTGGCTCGCAAACGCGTGCGAGGCGCTTGCTCGATCGAAGGACCCCTTCGGCCCCCCCCCCGCACGCACGCCCTCGGCGTACGTCTGGTAGCTCCTAGCCGTCCGGGAAGTCGGGAGCAGAAAGGACCACGTAGTAGATGTTCCGAAGGCCCGGCGCCTGCGGAGAGAAGATCTTGTTCGCCCCGGTCAAGAAGCGGCGTGCCCCGACACCGGCACGATATGCTCGAGCGACCCTGGCCGCCCCAGTCCACTCACCACCTGCACCGGTCAGGCGACTGGCAAAACCCGTCAGCTGGGGAAGGTGAAGAGCCTCAAGGGCCTGAGCAGTCACAGCAGAGAGAACCTCCTCGTCAGTAGCAGCTGCTACCGTTGAAGCCGGAGCCTCCACCAACTCAAACTCCCCCTCGGTCTCGGCGGGACGTGGAGCAGAACGGCGCCTCACCGTTATGTCCAAGCCAGCAAAAGAAATGACCAACGAGTCCACGTCGGGCTCGGGGTCACTCATGCACGCCTGTCCCGGTACTCGGCCAAACGCTGATCAGCAGTCAGGGGCCCGGCCGGCACTGGCCAGATCTCGGTCAAAAGGACCCGGAAAAGCCCGTGCAATAAGCGGCGGCAGTTGTTAGACAAAGCCACCAAAACACAGAGTCCTCCAAAGCAGCACGTGCCTCCGCAGCCGCCCCAGCTCGCCAAAAGTTGACGAGTCTCAAACAGCACGGGCGCGATCCATTGACCTATCATACGCCTTCAGATCTTGAGCAATCGCCGCATCGGTTGCTACACTGCTGGAGATATTAGGCATAGACGGTTGGGGCGCTTGACAGCCTTAGCAGACTCATGAACCTATCGTTTGGACACTGCGGATGTTTCTCGAGTGCTTGCCGGATTTCACGTCTCTAAGCTTCTGCATCCTCCCTATGCTCACGTTGGCCTGGACTGTGGCCCTGTCCTAAGCTCTTTGTAGGCCTAACAGCATGTGGCCAAACTGTGAAATGTCAACGTCCTTGATGACAAGCTCTTTTGGAGCAGTCTTTTCGGACTTCGGGTTAGGCCAGAAAGCGAGCCTTTGTCTGAGATTTGATGCTTACCATATGGGCGCAGCACAGTAGCAAGAAGCTGAAGCAAAGAGCGGGAAGAGTTCAAGCAATTAAGCCAAGTCACCTGACCGTGATCCCGATCCTCGGAAGCAATAAGACACGGCACTCAAGAACAAACACGGACAGAGGAAGGGAGAGAGAGCGGCACAGGCACAACGAGAAGAAAGTGAAAAAGCAACAACGACAAAGGGGGAGCGCCGAGCGGGTAGACACCGACAGCAACAGAGAAATACCGAGCAAGACGTAGCAGGCAGAAAAAGGGAGACAAAACGAGTCAGACCCCCCCCAAAGAAAACCAAGCTGCACTCTCTGGGGAGCTCTCTACATGAGGGTCCTTGTTGGGTTCTTGTTTTCAGAATTGGGGATCCCCTAATTTAGAGAACTCCCCATATCGTGTCAGAGGTGCTTTCTGCAGGGCTGTCTGCCGTCTTATCGTGATGTCGCCGAGGATTCGACATTTTCTACAGTCTGTGAGCCTACGACGCAACGACTGGCGACTGGACTAGCTCTTCCTCTCCACCAGCTGCAGAGACTCCATGGAAACAAGGTATGTCAACAAACTACTAGACTACTAGAGAAGAGGGCTGGATTTCACACATGGAGCGGCACATGAATGTGGCGAATTTATATGTCCAAACCAAGTCACTCTCGCCAGGAAGGTCCATTGACCCCATTGGGATATGTGAAGAACCAAGACTTGTTGGACACCCTCTCAACGCAATTGGGCCCACGCCTTTCATTTAACACCAGCATCCCCAGGAACAGCTCGCCGTCTGGGCTCTTATACTCAACGTGATGAGCGGTGTGGTGGTCGAGACCGCATTCCTCTGGAATAGGGAGCGAGCGCTCCACAATGCCTGTGGAGAAAAGCTCCCAGAGGTTGTTCGTTGGCTGCACGATCGAACTGTCACACGATTGTCGCCCGCCAAGAATCCAGAGTCGATCGCTTGCCCACACTGCTGTATGCCCTGCCAGAGGCGTCTCCAAATCCGTAGGGACCGGCGACCACCGAACGATAGGTAACTTCGCTGCTCTGTTCGCTTTTGGAGATTGCAGACCCAATGAGATCTTGCTGCTGGCAGGTCCTTTCAAATCGGTGCATCCGCCCACATGGTAAAGGACTCGATCGCCCTGAAACTCCCGCACTGCCATAGCACCTAAAACGGTTCGCGGAGGGCAGGAGAAATTGGAGGGGGGCTCATGTTGAAACGGGTCGATGCAATATCTGTCAAGCAATTCCTTGAAATGGCCGATTTCAGAGTTCCAGCAGCACAACACTCAAATAGCTATATCTGTATCTATATCTATCTATATCTATATCTATATATACATATATGTATAATTTATTTCTCCAACAATCATTCCAACAGATATTCCCACAAAAGGGGAAAATGCGAATATGTGAAATTGAATCCGAAATATATTGCATATGAAGTTGCAGTCACTCGCACAACCCTTGCTTCATTTTACACTAGAGCGCGGGGACTTCAGAGCACGTCAGCGGTGCATGCACAAACACAAAGGCAGCACACGATGAGGGGCTCTGCATCGTGAAACAACAAGGGTCGCACACCTCGTCGTCACACAACAAACAGAGCTCACCTCATCACCCGGGTGGGTGGGCGGGGCAAAATTTTGCCGCCACTCCCTCCTTGAGAGAGTAGCTGCTGCACATCACAAAATTTTGCAACCAACAGAAAATAAAACATGCGTGAAAAGCGTGAGACACCAATGCAAGGACAATGTGAGAAAATCTGTCTGCGCGCCCGACATGAGAAATGTACGTGCGCGCGTGAAATGATGTGGCGAAATAAGGTGTTCGCCAGGCAAGCTGGAGATAGCACTTATTTCTCCAACAATCATTCCAACAGATATTCCCACAAAAGGGGAAAATGCGAATATGTGAAATTGAATCCGAAATATATTGCATATGAAGTTGCAGTCACTCGCACAACCCTTGCTTCATTTTACACTAGAGCGCGGGGACTTCAGAGCACGTCAGCGGTGCATGCACAAACACAAAGGCAGCACACGATGAGGGGCTCTGCATCGTGAAACAACAAGGGTCGCACACCTCGTCGTCACACAACAAACAGAGCTCACCTCATCACCCACCGCCGACTGAGAGCTCTGGCAAGAAGCACTGCAAAGCGAGAATGATGGACTGCAAATCAATCTCATCGCGACGGACACCCGCCAAGTGACTGCAATCATCACGCGAGGGGCCATCAGCAATGTTCGCAGCACTGCTCACCCTTTCGAACCATGGGAACGAGGAGGCACGTTCCTCCCAATCACTCAACCATTCCGACAGGGCTGAGAAGTGCACGCAAGGAGATTTGCCAGCAATGAACGCAGACTTGGCCGCTTCATTATCAACGAAGCAAACGGCCTCAGAGCCTTGTACAAGGCTGTTCCACACGTGCAACGCGACCACTACTGCCAAGCCTTCAAGAAAGTAGATGGGGCTCTGAACATCACCAAACCTGAGGCCCTCAAGTGCATCGTCGTTAAACAAGCAGCTGAAGAACCTAATGGGCTTCCCATCAGGTGCAACTAGTACCCCTCCTAACCCACAACTGTTCGCCTGGCCATCATTGTAGGCCGCATCAGTGAAGATGAACCAAGCGTTCTCACGTCTTGCGGATATTACCCTAGGGGGAGCACCTACAACCCTATCCTTAAGGAAAGTGAGGGCTGCCTGCAAGTCGGAATCCATGGCGGACCCCCCGATGAAATCTGCGCGCCGCGACAAAAGCTGCATGAACCTGCCGCTTCGTCGCCCATGGATCTGACCCTCAACGAACTGCAACCTCCCTCTCAGCGATGTGAGTTCATGCTGCTCCACCCACTCGAGACTGAGTAAGCGCGTGATGGTCTCGTCAAGTTCGGCCTTTCGCTCGGGGGTGTTCTCCACCACGAAGACTCTCTCGGACTGAAAGCAAATTTTGACACCAAGAGCTCTCGCAAAGTAATCAAAATCGGATTCTTTGTCCCGTGCCACGGTCCATCCAAGCAGGTCCCAAAAGCAATTGAGAACCAAGTCAAGGTGTTTCGTGGACGACGCCTCGTTGAGGACGATAAAGTCGTCGTAAAAGACCGTCCAGTGGATCAACAACAGAGCGCACCCTAAGTGCCACAATCCCATCGTGCTGCGGCAAAATGCCGCGACAGAAGCGGATGATCCGAAGGGCAGCACATGGCAGGCGTAGATGGATGGTTTGCCCGTCTCCGGGTTCGGCACACACAAGAAAGCATCCTGTATGGCCTCAAGGGAAATGCCGAGTTGCTTATAAGCTTTATGCAGGTCTATGATTTTAAGTTTTGGCACGCTGGCGCGGCCGAACCTCTCACGGACCCTAAGTCTGTAAGCGATGCCCGCACAAACCACATCCAAGCCGTGAGGTCGAATCGACTCGGTGCGGGAAACGGTCGAGTTGATAAAGGATTCCGACAGGTTGTCGATGGGCCTGACTTTGCGCTTCCCACCGGACCGCTGCTCAACTCCGAACCGTCTGCTCAAGGAACAAGTCTCGCTCAGTTGCTCAAGTGGCACGGGCCCTTCTAGCCACCCGCGGTCTACCTCTTCCTTGGTAATGTCGTGAACCTCCTGCGCGAGCTCGGACGAGCACACACGCTCGGTGGCGCGAAGAATGCCTGCACGGACAGCGCTGGCAGCGGCGCGCAAACACTCCTTGGTCATTGACGCCGGCTCCACAACGGGTTTGAAGAGCCCATCCGACGCAGGAATCGGACCTGTCAAGTCGAAGCCCTTCCCAATTTCGGACGCAATTGAAGAGTCGCCATAGCCACATGCGACGAGCATCTCGCCGAAGACCAAAAGCCGCTTACCCTTGAGGACGGCCTTAAGGTGTTTCGGCATTCTATCATGGAGAGCCTTTTCCTGCGGAGCGATCTCCTGCGCTCGAAGCATCCATCGCCTAAGGACCTCGGTGCGGTGTTGTGCTAGGCCCACTTCTGACTGCTCGACAGTTGCATCGATCGCAGTTTTGAGCACAGGCGGAATTCCATCAAATAGGTGGCGTGGATGCCCCCTCTTCGCTGCCTCCTTGGCGAAGTCACATGGGTCCCAGGGTATGCCAATGGTCATGCGAACTTGAGGGGCATTGCTAGGAGCAGACGGCACTTTCGAAAAGGCAGAGGTCCAAGGCAATGGAAACCCGCAGGACCACAACGTTTGCTCCTGCGTTGGGGAGAGATCATTTTGCACAACCGCCGAATAAGCAATGATCGACCACCTGTCGCCGACCCACGGCAGGGTGGCATGCCTTGCACGACCATCGAACCGGCACGGTCCTAAGTTGAGAGCTAGACAGTCTCCCCACAGCCATTCGCCCGTGCACGGGTCCTCAAAGGCATGGGCCCCGCCTTCTGATTCCACAAAGAGTTCGCCTCCGGAGTAACCTCCTAAGCCGATCGCAAAGTTCATGGTTCCTGGCACATTTGCCGAGTCCACGTGCAGTGCCGACGGCTCGTTGTGAGTGACGACGAAGGCAGACCACGATGCATCCGGGAAACGCTGCAGCATGAAGGCATTTATGAAGGCAGCTGTGCTAAGGTGCTCACCTGTGAGTTTGGTAACACCCTTCCTCGGCAGGCACTTGTAGGCGCCCAAAACAAAGTATTCCACAGGTCGGCCGTCCTGAAGAATGCCCGCACGCCTGGCTTCCAAGGGGGTGTTGAATGCTTGCTGAAGTACCTGAACACACATTTCAGAAGACAAGTCACCCTTGCACAAAGCATCCACGGCCTTGCACAAAGCATCCACGGCCAGAGAGGACGGGGTGCCACTGGAATCAAGAGAAGAACCGCCCTTCTCAATCCCCGCGCAAGGAAGGGCGCAGAGAACACGTGATTTGGCAGGCAAGAGAGGATAATGCGGCTGGCACTGAACGCCTGCGCAAGGCAACCAAGGCTGCTGTAACACGGGCCCGGAAGGGAGCAACTGCGCTGGACCCTGCAAGACGCAAATGGCTTTGTGTTCTGGCAGAAGAGGCGGTACCCGTTTGCCGCGCGGTTGCGTGCCAGAAGCCACCCTAGCTTGTAGATGGAAATCAGAAAGACCCGGCAAGGCTTGCGCAGGTGGCAGAGAGCCAGCCGCACCAAGAGCATGCTGCAAAGCCTGCGCATACGCTCTACAGAAGGGAGCAGGGTAAGTTGTGACCGACTCCCGCGGCGCAGAATGCGCCGGGTGCAACGAAGTATGATCACATGGGAGTTGCAAGGCCTGAAAGGCATCATGGAAGTGTGCAATGCAAAGCTGACGTTTGAAAGTAGCCCCGAACATGCAAGTGTGAACAGACGAAAACTGCAGTGGGATAATCGACGAAGATGCATCCAGCCAAGCACTGCTTTGCCAGAAGTGGCTGGAGGCTGGGTTTTCCAGAGTGGCAACAATGCCTGTCTGGAAAGCCTGAAGGAAAAGGGTCGATGCCAGTGCAAAGAGACGATTGTACAGCTCAACTTTGGCTTGATTGGGTGGAGAAAGGTCGGGCAGGCCGTCCGGAAACGCGTGTGAGCGAAGTGGCGGACCGCCACGACCAGGGAGGGCTGCAGGTGGCGCCAAATGCACCGCAGCCAATGCCCGATTGGAAAGCAGCAAAAAGAGCACTCTGACATCCTCATCAAGCGCGAGGTCCAATTTGACCACGGGCGCTGGAGCTGACTTGGGTGTCCATGCATCGATGCCGAAGACACTGCCCACGCCACACGCATGGACAGCACCTGAGAGGCGAGCTGAACCCGCGAAAACTTCCACAAAAAGCAAAGACTGAAGGGGCCTGCCGCGAACACGCTCTTGCAGGGCCTGGAAGAAGGACTCGGCTGAGTCGACAACGCGTGTCTGCGGCAGGCCTGGCTCTCAGGCTTTGGTGGGATGCTTGTGCTTGCCCTTGCCCTTGCCCTTCGGAGTGGGCGGGGGCGGCGTAGGCGGCAGAGCATTGTGCGCATGCGGAGTAGGAGGCTTGGGCGGGAAGGCATGAGAGGGGGGTGCAGACGCCAGTGCCAGGGCTTCCTGCAGACGCTGCTTCTGGCGTTCACGGCGCGCCTTGGTGCGGCTCTTTTTGGTCGGGTTGGGTGTGTCGGTGCCACCATTGGGCGTCGCCATGACCTGCGAAGCGGAAGGGCGCTTGCTCTGGCCACCCGCGGGCAGCGGCATGAGGAACATCATGACATCGGTAGCCGTGGTGAGGGCTGCAAAGAGATCATCCATGGGCAAACTCCCATCTGCACGCTTTTTCAAGGAAGTGCCCTTTTCGGCCATGTACGTCCATGCTGCTCTGTCAGCCCTTAGAATTTGCATGGTATCCACCTGCTTGTACTCCATGGGAGGGGCCTGCTGCAAGTGTCGCAGAAGCTCGGCGTGCCACCGCTCGGAGGCTGCAAACGTTGCGGCTTCACACAAGTCAAGCGCGAGAGACCTTCGAGTCAAAGCCTGACTCAAGCTGAGTGCATCAGGGAGGTGACACGTGTCAGCAAGCTCAGCAGAATCACGCACCTTGATGGCAGACGATGCATCAATGATGACTTCTTTGGGGGGCTTAGATTGCTGAACCTCATGAGCCCGAGTGGTGAACCGATTAGGGGCGAGATAAGTAATTTCATCAGTGGCCAGCATGCGAATGACAAGTGTGTAGCAGCTGAAAGAGCATTCCAACGGACCGCGGAGCGACATTCCGGCCAGGCGGCGTGCTTGCTCCTCCAGTCGGAACCGCCTTTCGGCGGGCTGAAGGTCTTGTCGCTTCTCGTCCGGCCCCTCGATTTGCTGACGCAGCTGGCTTACTGCAAGTGTCTGTGCTTCGAAGATAAGGCGCCTAGCAATTGCAACCTGACCCTGCTCAACAGTGGCAGGCGACTCTGGATTCAGAAAAGCTCGCAGGGCATCTTCGGCGGGTACAACACCCGGGGCCCCCACAGCATATGCAGCCTTGCTAAGAGTGTCGACTCCACGTCTTACAATGGCCTCGAAGACAGTATTGGTCAAGCCATACTCCAACACCTTGTTTTTGAAGGCAGCTTTCGAATCCAAGAGTGAGGCACCGGACATGCTGGATCTTAGGCGTCTACGTCAGGCCCTGCACTGAGCTACACTTGAGATGAGCAAGCCGAGCGTTTAGCTAGCTGAGCCATGCACGACAACACATAAGCCCGCAGGAGTGCTCCAGTTTTCCTGTAACCACTTCTCGAGCGAATGCGGACCCCGGTGTGCCCGAGGCTGGGTGCTGCTGGCTCTCACCACAGGGAGCGCACAGCGACACCGAAAATGTAAGACAGCACACTCTAACCCAAGCATGTTCCAGCACCTGTAACCACTGCTCGAGCGAATGTAGCCACCCCCGGCATTGCCGAGGTTGAGATGCTGCTGGCTCTCACCACAGGGAGCGCACAGCTGCATCGAAAATGTTTGCAAGAGCGGTGACATCTGGGGCCTCATGGAGCACACGCCGAGCGGTTCTCACACGGGTCCACACGAGTCACTCGCCGGCTCACTCTAACCAGTGCGCCGCCTCTTGTCAAGAACATGCACAAGTTGCGCCGTGCTTCTGATGGTTTTACCACGATCGCACTGCACACACTTCAGAGAATCAACAATCGGATGCCCAGTGGCTCGGAAGTAGGCTTGCGACTTGACCCTCCCGCACACGAAGGACCCTGACTCTGCATCGGCCTCTGGGAGCAGATGCACGGTTCTGCTTTGCCTGTGCTGCCAAACCTGGCAAGCGTCTCGCCAAACTGGCCGTTCAAGAGCAGCAAGGTGCGGGCCAGGTTCCGACTCCACCTCCGTGTCCGTCGACGAAGAGCTCATCGAACTGGATGACGACCCGTCGAGTGCGACATCCTGAGCAGGGTTGCTTCCATGGAAGCTCGGGCTCGGGGCTGGGTGCTCAATGGCATCAGGCTCGAAGCCCTCAAAGGCAGAGGCATCATTCTCTAAGTCGCTTTGGTCGGCTGGTGCCCCGAGAGAGAGCTCGGCCGGGTCAAAGCTCTTGTTCGCTTCAACATCACTGGAGCCAATGCCACCCTGCGGCTCGGTTGATTCCTCACAAGACGGTGACTTGTCAGGCATGTCAGGGAAATAGCCACTTCGAGAAACGTCTGGCAAGAAGGATCCGGTGCGAATCGCCAAAATGCACGCCTCCAGATCTCGCAACGGTGCGGCAAGTGTGTCTCTCCCGTAACACTCTGCAGATCCACGATCATTGTGATTGCCCAAACGAGTCCTCGTATCTTTGGAGATGCCGTACTTTGCCGCCCATGATAAACAAGTTGCCTTACACGAGTGAGCGCCTAGCGACGGAGCCTCGGCATGCCCAGCATTCTGAAGAATCTGAACCAGCCAAGCCCTCGCTTCAGTCGTCGAGCAACTCGACTCGAGCCACCCGCCTTGGCTCGGGAGTGGCAACAATGGTCCTTTGGCACCCCCTTGAAACCGTTCAAGAGGGAGACCCACATCAGTGGCGATGGACCGCCACGACTCAACCCAACTTCCTATGGTGGCACCCTGAACCGGGGCAACCAAAGGGATTGAAGGAAAATGGCGCCGCATCTTGTGCGACCAAGAGATGACCTCGATGTACCCGACAAGCTCGCCATTCTTCGTGACGATGTCAAAGACCGCATCACTGATGATTTTGCAATCGCCGAACCTCGCCCTCGAATAGATCAAGAACAAGAAGCACCCTGCCGCGTAGAGGTCTTGCAATGCTCCCACTCTCCGTTTGACGAAAGCCTCGAGTGTTGCAACCTCTCCGACCGTGAGCGGCCGAGCTTTGGCAGTGGGCTTGGCATTCGCCGCGGCCATCCGCAGCACTCCGCGAATCCAAGGTGAATCGCCTGCATTCTCAGCAACGGGTAGGCCAACAACATGTCTGAGGAACCCCACCATCTCCAGCACACCTTTGATGCGAGAAGCAGGTGCCTTCTCTTCCACCAGCTTCTTCAAATACATTCGGCATGCATGCTCAGTCATAGGAAAAGGCATAACACTCGCAAGTAGGGCCCATGCCAGGAATGCTTTCACTTGCCTCAATCGCTTCTCCAGAGTCGACAATGCTTTGCCTCCAAGGGTTTGCGTGACAACTGCAAGCTTCTCGGTTTGGTCGGCTGCAGCAGACATCATGAGGCCGAGCACAGTTCCATCGCCAGCCCACGGAAGGATCACTTGGAGCCACTCCTGGTACACGAGATTGAACCGATCTCGCTCAGGGAGGCGATCACGTCTGAATGAATCCTTGTTCCATGCTGCAGTGAATGCTTTCTTATCACCTGGGACAGTTTCCGACGGTTCAGGCCCCAGAGGCCGGACAGATGCAGTATCAATGACATCTTCGATGTCCAGCGCGGGCCTGGGCAGCACTTCCGGTTTTCCAAAGATGGCCGCCAGCGGTCCCGTCTCCCAAGGCAAAGTAAGGGCAGCGATACTCGGCGCCGTCGTCATGGCCTCGACAGACATGCGGCGAAGCCTGTCCCTGGCACCTTGATCAAAGTCACCACCTCCAGCCATCACACCGAGTTTAAAGACTCTTAATGCAGCTTGAGCTGTAAACTTAATGCAGGCAGTCAAGCATGAGGAGTGAGCAGCTCGAGGAGTGAGCCTGAAGATTCCCCTAGCAAAACAGGCGACAGTTTGTAGCATGCCAGCAGCATCACACGTGAAGGGCCCAGGCCCGGAAAATCACAGTGACCTACGCCAAGCAAATCACTGATTGCTGCACGGCTCCAGCCCGCCTCGAAGATGCAGACAAAACTCGGAGCGAGGCCGCAGCAGCTCAGGGCGCAAGTTAGGGGTCCGCCGGAAAGCTGGGCATCGGCTGTGGCACAGGGTTAGGGCAGGATTAGGGAACCAAGAAGGGGCACCTTAGTCGCAGCCAGGGGCAGGGCGCAACGGAGGCACCTGCAGATATTGCATGATGTGCTGCAAGAGTGCGTCAACACGACGCAACCGCCGCTCGACCTCGTCAATCCTGTGGCTTGCCAGCATCTGTTGCTCCGCGGCAACGCGGCGCAACGCAGCAACTTCCAATGCAAAATCGCTAAGCTGACTCTGTTGCTGTTGCAAAAGATTCTGCAAGTACTGAACATGTTCCCCTGGCAAAAGGTGAGGTTGTGTGAGAGGCACAGCAGGTAAGAAGCTCACGCGGGGCCGCACAGTGAGATGCCCAAGCTGAGCAGGGACAGTACGAGGCCTCTGCGAAACCCTGGGCCTGCGGCGAGAATCCGAGCGACTCCTGGAGGCAAGCCTAGCACGGCGGCTTGCACGTGCAGCAGAGACCTCATATGTATCCGCAGCACTAGCAGTGAAATCTTCAATTGGATCGTCCGCCAATTCAGGACGCTCAAAGCCTGTTGGGCGCGACCAAGGATCGGCAGAAGCTCGTCGCATGTTATCAAGCAAATCCGAAAACATGAAAGCTGGGTGAAAGCCCCTCAAAGCAACTGCTGCTGTCGCGAAAAACAGCACGCAAAGATGTCCCACCACGTGGAACGGCCCGGAGGAGCAGCCTGACGAAGGTCAGCCAGATCAGCTTCTAATTGACGGATCCGACGCTCGCAAGCACCGACGTGAGCACTAAGCGTCCGCAACTGCAAGTCCAACTGATGCACGTGCCGGCTAACTAAAGAGACTGTAGAGGGTGACTGGCTAGCGGAGCGATCAGAGGAGTCAAGGTCGACTCCCCAAATCGTTTGGCCTTGCATGCAACAGGCCTAGGAGCACACCAGCCAGAGCGAGAACTGTTCCCCGTGGGTACTAAGAACGTCGCAGCTGGCACCCGCTACAGGCAAAATTTTGCCGCCACTCCCTCCTTGAGAGAGTAGCTGCTGCACATCACAAAATTTTGCAACCAACAGAAAATAAAACATGCGTGAAAAGCGTGAGACACCAATGCAAGGACAATGTGAGAAAATCTGTCTGCGCGCCCGACATGAGAAATGTACGTGCGCGCGTGAAATGATGTGGCGAAATAAGGTGTTCGCCAGGCAAGCTGGAGATAGCACATTATTTATGTATCTAATATGCGAGAATCAAGAGCTTGGAATGCTACATAAGAAGATGCTTGAACTCAATCCCAGGATCCTGATCGTCCAATGGTCGGAATCCGAAGAAAATCCTGGGACTGGCAGTGATGGGGACGTCTGCCGATCTGTCAACGTCGGAAGCCGATTCAGCAGCCTGCTCGATCAGGGTGGCCGGGCTTGTTGCCGTGCACTGAAACGAGATGGCCTTCATGTAAACGATGGCGAAGGTCTCTGACAGCTGCAGCACATCACCATCTTCAAAGGGCTCATCGAAGGTGTTCACCACACCGGAAACGTCTGGGGTGCGGACAAAGACCGCCGTCCCGTTCCGAAGTAGCTCCAGCGTGACCTCCAAGTCAAACTGTTTCCGCTTCCCCCCGAGGAGCGTCACTCGGCCGCTGCCTTGTAGCACCAGCGTCACCTTGCCCACATTCTGGAATGCCCACCAACCCCAGAATCCGTCCACCCCGTCGGTCTCCGGAAACCTGAGATTTGTGAGCTGGCTGAGGTCCCAGCCTTGAGCTTCCATGTTCGACCGGTTGAAAAAGGCAGAGCTGCCATCGGGGGGCTGCGGGGCGCCGCAAATGCTTGTCGTCGTGCTTGACGTAGGCGCGGCAAAACTTACCCTGTCATCAGGCTCAGCCGAAGCACGCCAAAAGGGACGGAAGCGATGCCAATACCTCGAGTAATACTTCTTCCCCGCGAAGTTCTAGAAAGGCTTGCACTGCTCTATCACTTGCTGCCATCTTTTATACCGCGTTGGATCTGTAAGGCTCTGCGGCTAGCCCGGAGGTGCCAAGGTCTTGAGGGCTAGCCAAGGCATAAACTCCCCCAGGGCTAGTCTTCGTGAGAAGTCAGTGAAACTTTCTAGAAGGCCACTACGAAGGCTCCTGGAGAGCCAAGTGGTGAATCTCAGTGGCTGAGACAAGAAAGGCTGTGGGCTAGAACAGACGGCGTCGGCCATTTTAGGCTTGAAGGCAAGCCGGTTTGCCCGGGGCGGGCAAGTGTCGAGCTCCGTGAGACTTTGGT